ATCTGCTACAGGAACACTCAGAAAAGGAACAAAAAAATCTGGAAAAAGCTTAAGATTTCGCTATGTGTCAGAATCTATTTGACAGAACTTAACAACAATCAAGAAGAATAATTTACATGTGATAGGAATTGTAGACCAGGAAGAGACCCACCCCCGCACCTAAAAAAACAACCCCATAGAGAATAGTCTAAGAGTTGTTGGAAGAAAACTTCCCTAACATCATGAAAGACGACTATTCAAGAAGTTAAACGAACTCCAAAAAAGGATAGACCCCAGAAAGAAAACACCAAGACATATTATAATCAAACACTACAGACAAGGAGAAAATCCTGAGAGCAGTTCAGGAAAAATGAAAAATTACCTACAAAGGAGAACTAATAAGATTAAATTCTGATTTCTCAGCATAAAGGCAAGAAGACAACGGAATGACATATATAAAACTCTAAAAGAAACAAACTGCCAACCAAGAATCTTATGTCCAGCAAAATTATCCAGCAAATATGATGGCAAAATTAGGTAATTTTCAGACAAACAAAAATTAAAAGAATTTATAAAAACCAGAGCAACCTTACGAAAAATACTAAAGGGGAGAGCATACAAGTACTTGAGACTAACATATATGACATTACCTAGACTCAACCCAGAGGTGATGGTAGTGGTTGTATGCAGCAGAGTCAGTTTCAATTCATAATGACCTGTACAGGGTTTCTGAGGCTTTAAATATTTACATGTACAGAAAACCTCATCTTTCTCCCATGGAGGAATTGGTAGATACAAACTGCTGACCTTGCGGCTTGTAGCCCAACTTGTAACCAATTATGCTACCAAGGCTCCTTAACCCAGATACAGAACTATGCAAAGTGAAACAGAACTATAAAACTGAAAAGAGAAAACCAGAGATACACTTGCAACAACGTAAACTAAAAAGAGGGAATAATCCAGTTACAGAACTTCCAAATAAAAAGGAAATAAAATAGATTTCAAGGAAAAAATAAAAAATAAACCTAACTGCAACCCTAAACACTAGAGCAAGTCTTACTCCTAGCCCTAGCCCAACCCTTACCCTTAACACTAAACCCTACTTCTAACCAGAACCCTAACAACAAATGAGGTCCTAGGCCTAGCTTAGATCTAGTCTTAGTTCCAACTCTAAACCTTACTCATCACTCCTACCAACTAGCACCCCCCCCCCCCAACACACACACACACACACACACTTCCCCACCAATAGCCCTTCGGGGAGAAAACACAAGCTAGCTCTGTCAGTCAAATGATATCAGGGCAAAGGTGGTACCAGATGTTGACCTCATCTCTCTTGGTTCAATACTTGTCCCAGATATAGGCCATTCTCTCTTTTTCTTTTTTATATCTTGTGCTCTTGAATAACTTAGTAAGTTGATCTGTATATTTTATTTAGTTTTTAAAGTTACCTTAAGTGAGAGAATTTGTTTAAATTACTGAGGCTGCCATTATCAGAAGGGGAAGCCCTGAGTAATTGTCCTATGCAAGGATGTACCATAAATTACCTGACTCCTCTTCCAATACTGGATATTATGAGTTATATACTGTGAGAATAATGATAATGTATAAATCTTTGTTGCATTTTAGTTCTTTCCTCCTAAAGATACATGCCCAACTCCATAGTTAATTGGCATAACATAGTTCACAAAGATTATGTTCTACATCCTACTTTGGTGAGTAGTGGCTGGGTTCTTAAAAGCTCATGAGTGACCATCTAAGGTGCAATTATTATTAGTCTCTCCATGTGTAGAAGAAAGAAAAATGATGAAAACTGAAGATGCTTGGAATCAACTACGTGTTTGGGGACAATGGATCAGTGGAGCAGGTGAACATCAGTCACCACAACTCTGAGACCAGAAGCATTAGATAGTGCTTACACAACAACGACTACCACTACCAAATGCTCTGAAAGGGATCAATCACATTAGAAGGTCCCAGATAGAATAGCAGAAAATGTAGAATAAAACTCAAAATTATATATATATAAAAGATCAGGTTTACTGGTCAGAAAAGAGACTGGAAGAACTCAAGACTATGGTTCTTGGCCACCCTTCAGGTCTGGAATGGAACTCACCCCCGTGGTCCAATTTTCAGCCAAGCCTAGATAGGTATATAAGGGGATAACACTAGTAAGCCATGCTCGCCATGGAATGATCAATCATTCATAATGAAAAGCCAACATTTACCTAAAGACAAAGTTGAAAAGGGATTGGAAGGAGGGTAGAATGGAAATAGGTACTACAGAGAGGAAGTGGAATAACTGTTGTTGTATGGGGGAGGACTGCAGTAATTGAGATAAAACAAAATGTATGATTTGTTGAATGCAAAACTGATGATCTTTTCCATAAACCTTCACTCACTCAGTTCACAATAAAATGTTAAAAAAAAGAAAGAAAGAAAGAAAAAAAATATATATTTCCCAAAGCTGAAAAGCTGGGTAAAACATTTTAGGATTCTTGATACTATAGTATTATACATAGTCAGCATTGTATCAGTATGCCTATTTCCCTGTGTTTTCTTCAGCAGTGAGGACCTTATTTTTTTTAACTTTATATTGTAAATAGAGTGACAGTCTACCTGGCAGAACATCAGTTTTATATTCAACCAATCGCATCCTTTTCACTGTAGTGATTACAATCCCCTTTTTTGATGTACACAAAAGCACAAGGATATACAATCATTTAAACAACCAAGGGGCACATTTTGCAAACCAGCCCCCTGCCCATCAGCAAACAGCCTTTCCTCTTCCATTAATCTAGAGTCCTCAGATGAGCTATCTCTCCATGTTGTTATCTCTGTCTACAACTCTGGTGTCGCTGCCTCTCTGGGTAGGATCCCATACTCCACCCGTGCTCTTCCCTCTTGCTGGTCCCTGGGATCTCTGTTCCTGGAATGCAAGATCAACCACTACCTCCTTTTTGTTACATATTTTCTACCTTTACAATCTTGACAATTGCAATTAGTCATGATAACAATTACTATTAAATCAAAAGAATCCTATCCCCAATCTCCTTTCACCTGAGCCATCTAGACAAGATGAAAACAATTCAGTGGGGATTCCACCTTCACCTGCACACTATGAAACTAAACTCCCTCTTGAAAACTTGTATGCCAGACACTTCATGCTTTTACAGCTGTCCTCCTCCCCCCATTTTAGGTAGCCAATGTTTAAGTTGCCTGTCCTTATCAATCCTGTGTACTGAGACTTGATACTTGATCCTTGATTTGAAGACTCCTCTCTCAGTTGGTAATCTGTGCTACTACTACATCTATAAGATAAGGTCAAGTTCATCAAATTGTAGCAATTTACACTTACTTCCTATATCAAATTTCTTTATCTTCCTTTTAGTTGAGTTTTGATCATCCAGCCATCCAAGCTAGGTCAAATAGGTACTATCTACAAGCTTGGGTATTCCTGTGTACCTCCCCCCACTTCATATCAAGCAAGACAGTTCACTCTTAGCTCTAGCCCCCAGTGGCCAGGTCAGTGTCCATAGGCTCAGTGGTTCCCAACAGACCATCAGTTTTACATTAAAAAAATCATACGATTTGCTTTATTTTAAAGATTGCAATCCTCAGTGAGAACTCTTTTTGAAAGACTGATTTAGTTAGTAAAAAGCATCACACTGCTGCTTTAAAATGTTTGTATCTTAGATTATTGATTGGGACAAACATCTTTACAAATGTTTACTACTTATTAAAATACTGTGGACCATATAAGAGTCAGTACTTTTTATTTCTATGTGTATTTACATAAGGCATTTATTACTGGTGTAGACTATAAGGGCACCAACCTTCTGCATTTGAGGATTTGCTGCTAAATGTCAACAGTACAGTTTACCTTCTTGGTGAGTGTTGTGCATGCCTCTCTCCAAGAAGGCTGTCAGGGGTCCTGGTCAGAGAGCAGAAGCATGGTTTTTTTTAAAGGGTCAGTGAAATGACTGATGATCTACCATTTATTCACTCATTCAAACTCTACTGACTGAGTTTCTGCAGTATCTGGTCTGAAGCCAATGATTAGTGAATATTGGCTGAAATAATGAATGGCATCTAAGACCCATGAATATTATTTAGAACTTTGCCTTCACATATCTGACAAGCTATTGGAGAGAGATAGACATCAAGCAACCATTAAGACAAAGATTTAATTATAAGGCAATATAAATGCACTGAAAAAAACAGTACACTAAAAATATAATGTAATGGGTGAGGAGGGAGCCCGATGAGGAGTGGATCAGGTTTAGGGGTGGGAGGCAGAGAGATTATGGGTGACTTCTCTGAAGATGTGAATGTAACTGACACAAAGGATGAGAAGGAGTGAACCATAGTGGGTGAAAAGAGTATCTCATTCAGAAGAAAAAGCCTATGTTAAAAGCCCAGAAGCAGGAATGACTATCATGGTATCTTGTTATAATCGCAGTTCTCATTCAGAGGAGAAGGACGGCACACTTTTCAACTTTAAAGATTCACAACTTTAATTCTAAAAAATGGATGAAAAGGTATGAACTTAAAGAAAAGTCTTAAAAGTAGTTTTCAACATAGAACTAGGAACCACTCACTGTTTTGTCTCCTGCTAAGAATACGCAAATAATGAACATTTTTTAAAACTTTTAAAACCTCACGATGTGTACACAGTGATACTAAGAGACAAGCTACTTTAATACACAAAATAACCTTTGTCTCAGAAAAGGCCTCATATTCCTAAACTGTTTCCAGGGTCATTCCTAACTTAAGAAAGGTAGAAATTAAAAAAGTATTAATCAACAAGCAGGAAACAGATGTAGACCCTCCTACAAAGCAAGAAATGAGTCATTTTACTTGGGAAAATACTTTTGGCACAAGGGCTAAAGTCTGCCTTGGGAAGCAAAATCTATTCAAATCTGCCTAGGCCAGCTAGCCCAGTGAGTGTTCCCAAACACATAACTTGTAAGCACGTTTGCAACGGACAAAGCAGGCATGGAGCCAGGAGGCCAACATACTGTTCTCGCGGACCAGGCAGAACTCCCATGCGCTCTGGCTTTCCAAGGTGCTCTCCAGGTCCACAGCGATGTTGGGCTCGCTCTGCTTCTCCAGGCGGTACTGAGGGCCTGGAAGATCAAAGGGGCAGGAGGAGGGGAGGAAGTCTGAAACACTGAATTTAACATTTAAAAAAAATACCACATACTGGCGAAAAGTGGATAAAGCATTACGAAAATGCTGAAGTCTGCCTTGAGTGTTTCCAAAGGCAGTCTAGCTGTTTGAAAGAAGAGAAAAGGATTTTTTTTCCCCCACAAGATTTCACACGTATGTGCGCTAATATTATGTATGTGTTCACTCAGTTCTCTCCAAAGCAAAGTGAGAGCCAAGCAGTTTGAGTCAGACTGACCTGGAGTATAGCTTGGCTATACCATTTCTCAGATGCGAGCAGGTAAACCCAGCCTCTCTAGACCACTGTTTCCTAACACATAATGTGGGAATACATGTTATCTTGAGGGATTGCTGTGAAAATTAGTGGTGATAGAGGAAAAATGCTTACTTAGTAAAGTATCTGCCTCACAAGGAAGCATTCTTAAAAAGGTATTTATCATTAATAATCTTAAAATAATGATGAATAATCAATTATAATTAAGAATAAGTTACGTTTAAAACTCTAATATGATAACCCCAAAACTTAAAAAATATAAACAAAAGTGAGGTTGAAAAATTTTTTTTTCAGATTTCTGGGTTCTGATGACAGAGGGCAGTGGCTGCTGAGACACTTTTTTGTTTTTGTAGAAATAGTTACAAAAACACAAGAGATAAAGGTTCAGTCAATACTATTGGAAACAATGAAAGCTAGCTACTCTGCATCACATACATTAAGCTCTGACAGACCTTAGTGAAAACACTAGGGCATTTTATACATTTATTCATGGATTTCTTTGTAAACCTAAATGACAATCTTGTTTTTCTCAGATAACACTTAGCGGGTCCAATGATCAGATTCAAAAGACTGCTCCTGTGATTTGCTAATGGTTATTGAAAAGATTAGAGACCAAAGAAACTGTCTTATTATTTTGACTATGAGAGGCGTGTTTGATCAGACAGAGGAAAGATGTAAGAGATCTGAGGAAAGCAACAGAGACCTTTGCAGGGCTCCCAGGTAGAACATGTATTTTTAGGCCTGTTCTTCAGCTGTTGTTAATTGTTGATGATTCACCTCTAGTATTTCTTCTTCATTAGTCTGAGGCATTTGATTCATTGTCTGTCTTCCTCCTCCTCAATGTTCTATGTTCATCTGCAGCATTGCAGAGCTTCATTTCATCTTCAAGGTATACTTGATTTTTTTCATTAATTAGTTAACTCTTCTTTCAGCTTCTCTCAATTCCCAGAGTTCTGTCCTTATTGCACTTATAAAAGCTTTGACTAAGAAAATAAATGCTCAAAAACACAAACAACTAAAAATATGCCCAGAAATCTATATTAATACTCATAAATATTAATGTACCATATTCAGGTCAAGAAGATACTGTTTCAACATTATACACACAAGACTTAAAATTGTAAATATATTAAGTAAATAAAAGTATGGAAATGTGGATAATTTTTATAGTCTCCACTATGTTTAACCCAGACTCCTGGTATGACCCCGTAGGATAAGCACTGAACTGCTAACTGCTAGATTGGTTATTCAAACCTACCAGCTGCTTCTCAGAAACCCTATGCAGGGTCACTATGAGTCAAAGGCACTTAACCTTTAACCTGTCAGTGTCACATGTGTCAATGAACAGGCATGGTTGGTATTGAGCACTGGATGCTTGTACATTCATTGGCAGAAGTTATCACATAAAAATCATGCACAGCAAACATAGCTGGTAAGAGATTCCTATCCTTCCTGTCTCCTCACTGCATATCTGCTCTTCCATCTATGGGTCTCTTCAAGCCACCTGAGGGAAGGAGTTACCCCTGAACCAACCTACAGAGCTGCTTTCTAAGACACTGGCCTATTACACAATTTGAGTGCTCCCATCCCTAATAATTTCCAGCAACACAGTCTGTTTAAGGTACTAACACCCATACCTACAGATTTACAGTAACACCTAAGTACAAAGTTTAGCTATGATTCATGTTTTATGACAGCCAAAATTCAGGTACAATCTAGGTCAAACAACAAAGAATTGACTAGTAAATTATAATAAATCCACACAGTAAAATATCATCAAGGTCCGTCCAAGACTGAAACTCAAAGGGATCACATGAGCAGCCATGTTAAGTTTGCTGGTGACCATGTTGGGTCTACTGGTGAGTGGAAGTGGGGGAAAGGCAACAATGAAGATATGGGCTGAGTATGACCATGTTCCATAGACTCCCATCGACCTGGAGATGGGAGAGAGAAGAAAGAGGAAGGGCTGGTTGGTCTGAAGTATGGGATGACTTGGGGTCTCCTGAGCCCATGAACAAGGACATAGCCATGGAGGGATAGAGCTGAGAGTGGAGCGTCCAGCTGGATATGAAGTGAGGGGAGACACACAAGAACATCCAAACTTGCATATAGTACCCAATTTGACCTAGCTTCGATGGCTTGAAGATCACAACTAAAAGAAGAAAAAAAAATTGATAAAGGAAACAGGTGTAAATTGATAAAATTTGGTGAACTTCACCTATACTTATGGATGTAGTAGCTCAAAATACCAACTGAGAGGAAAGAAGTCTTCATCCAACACCCTCTGTATGCAGGGGTGATAGGGATGGTCAACTTAGATATTGGCTACCTAAAATGGGGGGGCTATAAAGGCACAAAGTGATTGGCTTACAAATTTTCAAGAGGAAGTTTAGTTTCAGAGTGTGTGGGAGAAGGTAGAATCCCCACTGAATAGCTTTCATCTTTTCTAGACAGGTCTGGTGAAAGGAGATGGGGATAAGATTCTTAAGATTCAATAGTGAGTAGTTGTTATCATGACTAATTGTGATAGTCACAACTGTAAAGGTATAAGTTCTGTAACATAAAGAGAGGAGTAGTTTAAATCATACATTCCAGGAACAGAGGACCCTAGGACCATCAAGGGAGAAGAACATGAGTGGAATGTAGAACCCTATCCAGAGAAGCAGCGGCACCAGAGATGGAGGCAGAGATGATAACATGGAGAGATACTGCAGCTGAGGACTCTAAACTCATGGAAAGAGAAAGATTGTTTGCTGGTGGCCAGGAGGCAGGCTTGCAGAACGTGCCCTTTGGTTATTTAAATGATTATATATTTGTGAGTGTTTTGGTGTACATCACTCCCCTACTCCCCAAAAAAACACCCCCAGTGGAAATAGAAGCAAATACTGTTGAATGATGATGCACAGAGGGGACTGTAATCATTGCAATGAAACAAGGAGTGTAAAACCAATGTTCTCTCATGTAAAAACTATCACTTAATTAATGATAAAAACTTAAAAAAAGGAAGAACAAACAAGATGGCGGATAGGGTAGAAGTGCAGTGAGGTGCTCTGCCAGCAACAACACAGAATACCTGACCAATCAGGCTCAGGGGATGGTCCCAGAACTCTGAACCACACATAAAGGTATATTTAGAAGGTTGGAAGGCTTACAGCTGGGGCAGTTTGTGGCAGAAGCAAGAAATCCATTGCTTTCTAGTTTGGGATGCTCAGCTGCTCCAGGAGCTGCCATCATGGATGAGACCAAGCAGGTGAAGGATCGCAGTGGCCACAGATGTCTTGCAGAACCAAGGAGATAAAGGTGTGGATATTCTTTTCTTTTGGTATCTTTTCATTGGTCCCTTGCTGTCTAAGCACCTCCATTCTGGTGACTATAGGGGTGCCTGAGCTAGTAGACACACCAGCCCCACCCTCAGAGGGTTCTACTATGCATGTGCACAGACCTTCTCGAAATTTAAAGAGACAGTTTCCACTTAAAAACAAATGGTCACAGCTGGCCCTGAACTGTTTATAACTAGAAAAAAGGCCTGAACGGGGATTGTGGAGTGGGACAAGCAGACAAAAAAGGAAATAGGCAGAAAATTAAATCCTAAGATACATCAAAACGACCAAGGGTGGCATCTTGAAACTTCTCAAGAAGAAGACGGAAAAGGGAAGTCCATTTCTTGATCACATCTACCTGGAGGCAATCAGAAAGCATAAAAAAATACCAAAACACACACCCATCTAAGTATTAAGGCCACAGATAACCCCTGAATATGCCCAAAAAAACAGAAGCAGATGACCATATCTGAACATGTCCAGAAATGAGATACAGTGACTGAGGCAAATGAGCTGGAAGTAGACCTACACTCCATCCTGGAAGATGGGCAGGCTTTGGAAATGCCGGAGAAGGAATAAAGAAAAATGATTATAAAATGTATCAAAACACTATACAATGAAGTTGAGAAAAATAAGGAAAAAGTCAGGAAAGTGCTACAGGAACAATCAAATAAGATAAATACAGCATTGGAAACAATTCAAAACCTACACAAAGAGGTCCAAATGATTAAAAATAGAATATCAGAAATGGACAATACACTGAAAAGGCAAAGGAGTAGAACTGAAGAGATAGAAGCCAGAACTAGTGAGCTAGAAGATAAATCAACAATACTAAGATAGAAGAACAAATACAAAAAAGGATAAAAAAATCTGAAGAAGGCCTAAGATTCATGTTGGATAACATAAAGAAGAATAACATAAGAATTACTGGCATTCCAGAATAGGAACAATCACATAAGTCCACATAGGAGATAGTTGAAAAGCTTCTGGAAGAAAAATTTCATAACATCATGAAAAGTGAAAAGATAAGCATTCAAGAAGCTCAACGAACCACAGGATGGATAGACCCTAAAAGATAATCACCAAGACATATAATAATCAAGCTCTCCAAAATCAAAGATAAAGACAGCATCTTGAAAGCAGCTAGAGAAAAGAGAAGTGTAACATACAAAGGCAAGCAAATCAGACTAAGCTTGGATCTCTCAACAGAAACCATGCAAGCAAGAAGGCAATGCCACCCAAGAATCCTCTACCCAGCAAAGCTGTCAATCAAATACGATGGTGAAATCAAAACATTCCAGGATAAATAGAAGCTAAGGGATTTTGCCAAAGCCAACCCTGCTATGAAAAATAGCCTAAAGGAAGT